TATATGTATGTATGTATATATGTATATGTATGTATGTATATATGTATATGTATGTATGTATATATGTATATGTATGTATATATGTATATGTATGTATATATGTATGTATATATATGTATATGTATATACTGTATGTATATGTATACATATGTATACATATGTGTGTATGTATATAATGTGTATATATATATATATATACTGTATATATACTGAGTATACTTTATATTTACAATATATGTTAGCGTACCTTGCATAACTGCATGAACCCTTATGGCACAATACAATTCTGTACATTTTTGGTCATTACCTTACTCTGATGACTTGCACTGAATGGGATTGGCAAGAGTTGCATAGTCGGCCTCAAGCAGACTTCAAATGATCATCAGTCATGGTGGAACGGTGTTTGGACTTAATGTTCTTCATGTGGGAAAAGGCTGACTCACATAAATGAGTAGAGCCGAATAATGCAGTCAAAAAGGTATCACATTTCCTCATGTTTGGGTACTTTTCCTCTGTGAGAAAACTGTCCATGAGCCCTGGACTTCAGCTGAATGTCAGCTTGCAGTGTCAAAATCTCATCCTCCACTCCAGACGAGTTCAGGAGAAACAGCGTTGCAATTTTTGATGCGAGTAAATCAACCTCAATATTGATACCATATTAATGTGTCACACAGCAGCAGATGCCGTATGTCAGTAATTAATCAGTATATGCTGATGGGGAGTGGTGAGTGACATGCCGTTCACGTGTCACATGCCATATTGTTAGAGTCACTTGGAAAATCTAGCTAAACCCTTGTGATGTGTCCTTCCGTGTCGAGGCTTCGAAGCGTGTGTCGAGTAATCAGGAAGATTTTTGTGATGCGCGTATCGAGGCTTGTGTTGATGACGTATGTGGTGACGTTCGAAGCCTCGCGAGCCGGCCGTACCACGTGACTGATTCAGGAAATGGTTCGCGGGTTTGGCGTGCGATTAGAAATATAAGGGGCAGCGAAACGCAATGGACCCCCCTCACATTTTGTGGACTTGGGACTTTATTGCGCGTTTGTTTGCAATCTATTCGAGCATCACAAACATCCTTCATGTATTCAATTTAAAGCTTCACACCCCAAAGCCATAGTGTCGTTATAATCACTCTGCCTGTTTTACATTTATTGTCCACTTGATGGCACAGTAGAGCAAATGAAGCACGTCGAAGCTTCGGCCCACGAGTGAACCAATTAGATGGAAAGCTTCAATGCTTCATGAAGCTTCATCTCGCCATCACTACTAAACCCTAAAAATAGTATTTTTTTTGTATTTCCTTTGTCTAGGTGTCAACAGGAAGCAAGGAGGATTTGATGACGGACTATTTCACCAGAAGTCCCGCCCCCTCAGCTCCAGCTGGCAGAGATCAGGTGACTCCCACCAGCTATGTCACGCCCACTGTGCAGTCATCCAACCAGAGGCCGGGCCAGAGCGTCAAACCCTCGCCACGCCAGCCTGTAGGCCAATCCCCGGCCTCAGGCCAGCCCGTCAACCAGAGAAGCAGCCAATCGCTGAGCAGAGCTTTCAGCCTGGCCTCAGCTGATTTGCTGCGCTCCAACGGACCAGACAGTTTCCGTGGAAATGAAGGCCAATCGGATGTGGTCGTTCGGAGACAAGGGGGAGGGGCTAGTGGGAGAGAGCGGCCGCTCTCTGCTCGGCTGGCTGGCCCGACCAATCAGCCCGGAGACGGCAGCTTCCTGAATCCCCCTATTCACCATTCGTCCTCTCTGAACCTGCAAACGGAGAGACACGCGGAGAGAGAAAGAGAGAGAGGGAGGACCCCCGTCTCTCGGAACGGCCCCACCTCGTCCTCCCCCAACCACCACCGCGGAGAGGTTGCCATGGTAACCCCCGTCAGGGCTGTTCCTGCCACGCGGCCTGACGAGGCCTCGGAGCACGGGGAGGTGTTAAGTGAGGGGCAGTCGGGTGACTCCTCCCACTTAAAGAAAGAAAGCGAGAGAGCCAGGTGTGGCTTCGTTGAAAGCCCAAAGAGCACACCTTCTTCCCCTGACCCCAACAACGACCCTCAGACCGTGTGGTATGAATACGGCTGTGTCTAAACACTGATACTGATGGACTTCCATGGGTATGGCTGTGTCTAAAGACAGAAACCTAAAAACTGAAACTACAGTCTGCTGGGGCTGAATCCAAACCCTCAGTCACAAGCAATCAGTCTCTGAACTGTGCTCCTTGTATTGTGGATGAATGTTATTCTGAGCTTTGCTCAAATACAACATCTACTGGGAATAAGTCTAAGTCCTGGAACGCAAAAGCCAAATGTAAATATTTCTGTACATAAAGGAGTCGTGACTTCAGTTTGTATTTTCTGGAGCTAACTTTTGTAGATTAACAAGCAGACCTGATTCCGTATGCCACCTGCCAATACAGCTGGTTAACACAGAAAGGAAGCTTTCCAAATCAAAGCAGCTGCCAGGGATTTCAGCACCACCAAAACAATCACGTCCCACCTCAACTACTGGATCTGTAGAATCAATTTCACCATTTTTCATCACAAGCTGGATCTCTCAGAGGGGGATGCTACGTAGACATGATGGGATCCCTGACAATCTTTCTCAGGATTTAGACATGAACACCACAACACTATCGATGGTGCCTGACAATGCTGGAATTCATTGGCCTCTGTCATTTTATTATCGCCCTGTTTACCGGAGCCCACAGGCTGTTTTTTATTTTTCACATCCAGAAATGGAGATGGGAGCTGAGATGTCTGAAGTCTGAGAATCCACAACACTTAAAGCCTGCGGGAACAGAGGACAAGTCTTACATGCAGAGCTGAGGACCAGAATACTAAGGACGGGCCTGGTCTATGAGCTGGAACTCTTTTGACCTGTTAATGTTTACCTGGAGGCCGCTGGGAATTAGCCATCACCGAGAGGAGTGGTTGGACTGACGTGAAGGCGACCAGAAGCGAATGAATGTATCAGATTTTTCCTCCTATTTCTGTCCTCCTCCTCTCCTCTGCTATCTAGAACAAAGACTGGAAAAGAGGAGCGAGAGAAGGGATGGATTCAAGCAAAGAGAGTTGAGACAAGCGAAGCAGAAAGGCATGTAGAGATAGAGAGCGAGAATAAATGGAGGGACGCTGGGACGGAGGAGAGCGGTGGACAGATATAGAGATGGACGGAGTGACGGGAGGACAGATAGATAAACAGGAGAGAGGAGGAGTTAAATTCCAGTCCCAGATCCCAGTTAAATTACAGTCCTTCTCCCTCCATCTTTAGATTCTGTCCCAGCATGCAACACTCTTAACACTTTACTGGAAACGTTGCACAGCTCGAGCCAACACTAGCTTCACAAACACACACATATATATAATGATATATACAGACACAGAGGAATTGTCCTTGAGGGGCGCGGTTGTGGCTTCGCTAACCATTCAGCTGGCCTTCATTTACACACACACACTACTGTGTTTTGGTATGGTGCACTAATGCACGCTAAGTTAGCTAGACAGTTGTGAGCACTGCACAGCGGAGAGAGAGACACAGATTCAGACCCCCTGTGATCTGGATATTTGGAGTTTGCATGTGATGAATTTAAGTTTTTAGAATAACCAAGTCACCATTAATAGAACAGCAGCAGAAGGTTGAATACACACACAGGGAGGTGTTCACCTCATTAAGAGCACTCTAGAATAATAGAAGATGTTTAAGTCTTTCACACTGTCACACTTAACTTGGTATTCTTGAACCTGGATCCTATTTTCCCATGTCTTTGTGTCTCTGTGACCAACTAGGGACAACAGTTTTTTAATTGTTGTCTTTTGCAATATAAGTGTCTGACAACTTTTTTGAAAGAGTCTCGCTGGAAGAGAAGGCATGTTTTAAAATCCTGCGGGGTGATGTGTTACCAGAGGACAACGCAGAGGAGAGTTTGTTGTGATGGAGCGCAGAAAGAGTAGCTCGGCATCTAAAAGATTTTCTACATCATGGCTGGATATTGATAAGATTTCAACAATGTGGATGAGGTCTTTGAATTGGATTGCTGCCTGTAGTTATTTGAGCCATAGTATACGGATGAAGAGGGGTACACTGCTTGTTACAAATTCATCGTGTTTCCTTTAAAGCCCAGCAAACAGAGAGAGGAGCAGGATGAAGAGGCGGGGGACGTACATGAAAGTATGCCTCTGAGATGGATGATGATGTCAATGGAAGAAAAGAATCTTATGCTAATTATTGTGATCGACTGACCTTTTGTCTGTACTGCTGTTTGTACATACAAAGCTGTCCCTCCTGCATTAGTGACGACTGACTGCAAAGACTTTCCGAAGAGCACTAGAATGATGAAGAGGAGGAGGAGGAGAAAACACTGGAGAAAGTTTGACTGGAAGCCATCACTAACCGTTCCGCTCACCTGTTGAACAAAAAGCACGTGTCAATATGCAGCGAGCTAAATTATTTTACCTGTAACATTTGTACATGACATTAGATTTTTATAAACGGGGCAGATATTCCCAGACTTTTTGGATACTTTTTTGTAAAATCCTCTGGAACTTGGAAAATGAAAATGTTTGTTGATACCAAAAAAACCTATTTCAGATCAATTCCTGTACACTGGTAAAAGTCATGCGGTTCCAAGAGTTGTAGATCATTTTAAAATTGTTAAAACATTGGTGTGTGTGTGTGTGTGTGTGTGTGTGTGCGCATGTGCGTGCGTGCGTGCGCGCGCGCGTGTGCGAGACAGTTTGCTGACGTCGAAAGAAAACGTATTGAATACCCAAAAGCAATTTTATATTTTCTGTTATTGAAACAAGACCATCACATTATGTTATTGGCTCTGTGGACAGTGTGTGTGTGTGTCCTAGTCTGTGTGTCTTCTTGTCTGGGTACCCGCTCTGTGTTACTGTTCCATCATTCCCTTAACAACACACCAGTTTTGGAGGGTGGGGGGGTCGATTGTTCCTATTAGTCAGCTTTACCTGCTCCATGTTGAGAGCACCACAAATCCTCAGCGGGACTCTGGTGTTTCCTGCTCTGTTTCTGGTCTCTGCACCAGAGGCCCACAGAAGGACACCAGCTCACTGCAGGAGAGAAGTGAAAGCAAAAGGTGAAGCGGAGCCCACGTCCTGCTGTCACTGGAATGACTGCTGCTTGACTTCACTTTATGACTATTGCTGACTACTCTGCTGTGATGTGACTACTGTTTGAAAAAGGCTACTAGTGTGATTCAGTAGAAACTGAGGTTGAAGCTTTTTGGTATTAAAGATTTACAAACTTGAACTGATGCTCCGACTTCATTGTGTCAGCGGTGCCTAGTGTCTTTATTTTAGCACAGTGTCCCAGTTTATTTCCTTTTGCTGTGCAAGGAATATATCATAGACATATATTTTATATGTATACCGAATATATATGTATGTGAATGGCAGGGACCTAAGATGTTGCTTATCAATAATTGGTTTAGTCTATAGGCCTTTTTCAGAGTGAAAGTGTCCATTTATTATTATTAATAATGTTGTCTCCATCCCTGTAAACCACAACAGCATGACAGTGGGCCACTGCGTAATACCAGGACCCTGAAACTGAAGCAGTGAATTTCAATAGATGATTACTGCGGTGAAAGGGTGAGTCTGCTGATGTCAGGATATTGCAGATATACTGAGATATGTATATTTTGGTGGATATAAAAACAAAATGCACAGTATATATTTATTCACTCAAACGGAATAAATATATTGTTGGCTGCATTTTTAGATAGCCATTTAAATGTTGTGATTTTATACATAGTTAATTCAGATGATGCATCCTGTTCAACGTCTACTGTGATGTCTGTTCTGGGTTTGTTGTTGGGACATTATGCAAGATGATGGGCGTGATGAAACAAGTCACTCACATCCATCAGCCAACCCTAATCTGTATACAATCATTTTTTCTATCATGCATGCTCATCCCTGGAAGTCACTAGAACAAAACTAAAAATATAAATTTATAGGCCAAATAACATTTTACAGCTTTTCCTTTCATCTTCACATATTCGGCATGTGAGTGTGTGTGTGTGTGTAGGCAGTGTGCTTCAGGAAGACGGACCACGTGCGTTTGTGTGTCAGCGAGAGAGAGCTGGCGGTCATTGTGCTGCAGACCTACAGAGCGGAGAGACTCGGTAAGAAATAAGTTTCCTCATTTCATTGAGTGATGTTTTTTTTTTTTCCACCAAGCTCAGTAGAGATAATGTGTATTCATGTGCCTAGGAAGAGTATTTTTTATTAGTCATATCAGTCAGCGATAGTCTTTGATATTCGTTATTTATAGCTGAAGTGACATATCAGCGGACTCCTGTTGAATATAGATTATTATGAAGCGATCACGTGTTTCAAGTGAAGACTTCAAATACGTTTAGAATGCCTCTACAGGCTCTCCAGTGCGGAGATATTCATTATTGATCTGAACTATCAAGTCGTGTCAGTCGGCACTCGGCAGGCTGTTGGGGGAGACAAACAGTGTTTGTGGAGTCACACAGAGACATTGTCCATCACTGACTGGACTTCATTTACTGCGTGAAGCAGCTGATGGACTGTAGAGCTTCATGTAACATTCACAGAGTTTCCATGTGTGGACTCAGTGACTGCTTATCAAGTGATGGGATACAGCATGTGGGCTACTTTATCTCTAAACGACACAGATCCTATGTAAGATAAAGGAATATCATGAGTGTTATGAAGATGCTGTTGGAGATAAGAATACCAAAAGTCACCGTAGTCTTGTATTGTTGTGTTGATTTTGTGTCACTTTAGCCAAAATACATAACAAGCTTGTAACCCCCACTCTGTCCGGCCGTGCAGTTTGATGTTCTGTATCTTGAGATCTTCACTGCTGAGATTCCTGCCAGCAAACCAAACAGTGGAGAGGAATTCTAACCATTGAATCAAATCAAACGAGACTGAAGCTCCGTTGGAAATATGACTCTAGCGTTACAGCTGCAGTAACCAATATTTTTTTATTTTATATCAAAATATTTTACACATGCGTAATGTGAAAAGGGTGGCCTGTAGGGACAAATATGACACACAATATTCTGAATATGATTGGTCTTTTTTTTTTTTAATGCATTCCGTGATCCATGAGAGTGCTTGAAAGCTACAGGAAAAACTTGCAACCCTGAGTTAATAATTTTATTCGTCAAGCTGTGTATTTACACAGATTGGATTATTCAAACTTAAAGGGATGTTTTTATGGCTACACTCAATCAAATGGAAATATTCCAAATGCCTTACATCTTGTGCACATTATCCCAAAATTCGTGTTAATTTGATATCTTTGGAGATTTTGAGAAGTCTCTAGAATTTAAATTGAAGTTCTGTGGGTTTGAACGACTTTAAAGTGGTCAAATGACATTTATTGATGAGCTGATTTTAGTTTAGTTTTTAGTTGCAGGATTGTGCTGCAGTCTATATATCGCAAGGACTTGATAAGGTTGGCCTACAGTCAATACAGTCTTTCTACTTCCTGATTAATATTGGATTCACCCTAATTTTCCCATAACCAAACCTTGACTCCCTGCCCACAAAAACAGAGGCTCAGCCCAGCAGCTCTGCTAATTCATCTTGAGGCTTCTTTTTCTTCTTCTTGTCAGGCTGTCTTGCACCGACTGACTCGGTCCTAGTATAGACTGACATGGAGGGAGGAGCAGCAGCATTGCCAAAGCACTTCCATGTACCGCAAAGCATTAGTGCCCACCATTAACATTAACAGCATTAGTCACAGCAGAGAGAGAATGAATACAAGACTTCATATAGTACATAATAAAGAAATCAAACTATAGCCAGATAACAGGAAATAAAGGCAATTAAGTTGTAACCAGCAACAATCAAAGACATAAACTGCAAATGTAATTGATTTTTCCTCACATTGACGTCTTTCAGATCAGCAGTCAGAGCAGAACTCTGCAGCAGCTCGCCTCCGAATGCACAAATACCTGTTGATCACAGTCTTGTTCCTTTTGACTTCTGCTCTTCATTCTTAATTCAGGCAGTCTTTTTGAATCTCCTTACAGCCCACACTTGGGTCCAGGCCCAGACATTGGGCACCAGTTGGACAGAATGCAGTGACCCTTTGTGTATACTAACCTCATTCATCCGTGCAAAGGCCATCTCAGCTCTCTGCAGACATTAGCAGAAATTAAGTAAAAGCCAAACTCTGTTTGTAGTGTCAGTGGCTTTACATACACAATACAACTCAGGCAGTGGTGCTAAATGTGGGGATCAAGGACTGCCAAGGGCCTCGAGGGGAGTCCAAGAGGCCTTTGTGACTGTGCCAGGGGCCCACAAGGGAGTCCAGTGGCCCTGGCGGAAGTCTCCCGGTGTCCTCCAGGGGGTTCCAGGGTCTCTAAAACGATCATTGATAATGAATTTATAGTGACTTGTAACTCTTTGAGGACACCTTTGGCCTCCATTTGGACCACAAGTGGCCCTTCACCAGGCCCCAGGGTAGTAAATTTACATATTTTTTTGGGGGCAATTTTTGCCCCCACTGACTGAAATCCAGGGGCATTTTCAAAAAATTGGGGGCACTTATTGAAACTTGTGAAATAACATTTAACCTTTGTTCAAAATAATAAATATACTTATTTAGGCTTACAATATATGAGCAATTGTCATCAAATGCCAATAATGAGACTATTAGGCAGTAGTCTACAGATTCAAAGTGTTTTCTTAGAGGTTTTTTTTTAACAAAAAACAAACATAAATCAGACAATCATATTCAATTTTATTCTTATTTCTTTGTGGTTATTTATTGTTGTTATTACATTTTTTAAACAACTATTAACAATTAAGTCAACGATGCCTTGATTACATATACATCAGTCATTGTATGGAATTATTGAGAAAAATATTTTTGTAGCACCTCAAATATTGTGATATTACCCATTTTTGTCCTGAACATATACATTAGTCATTGTGTGGAATATTTGAGAAAAACATTTTTATAGCACCTTAAAAATTTAAAAAATGTGCCATTTGAAGGTACAAATTCAGTTCAGAATTTTTGCTTAGTAAAATATCTTAATTGACTGTCAGTCAGGTATTATTCATTTCCAGCAACCCTCAAATCAAAGAATAAAGACACTTGACGCACAATTTAGGTGTATTGTCCCTTTAACTCACGAGATGCAGGTAGCATGTTTTATACTTAATGTGAATATAATTCTTTTAATCTAATTGCCATTATGCAATATGTATACTTTGTTGGCATCTTATTCTGAAAACCGGATGTTCGTCTGAAGAAACCGGATGTTGTCTCACGTTAATCTTTCCGTTAACTTTCAAAGTCCTTCGCTCGCTCCCGATCTGTGCCGTTTGAATGAGTTTACCGTGAATTTCAGCATATAGGTGCACTCAAATTTAAGTGTCTGCTGAGTTGACCACATTCTCGCAGTCACAGGTCTGATTAAGAAGCGCTCCATTTATTTATTCGTTTAGAAAGTTCGGGGGCATTTTTTGCCCCTCTCCTAGTGATATCAGGGGCAAAATTATATTTCTTAGGGGCAGTTTTGCCCTTTGCCCTCGTGTATTTCCGACGCTGCCAGGCCCACAAGAAAGCCTAACATTTTGTTAAGGCCTCTTGAAGACCCCAAAACCTCCCCTAGTGACTGCTGGACTTGTTTGTGGCAGTAGTGGAGGTTTCAGAGGTCCACAAGGGAGTTCCAGGGTCCCCCTGGGAGCTCTGCCAGATGCTTAAGGGGGACTCTGGTTGCAAGTGTTTTTGTCATTGATGACGGAACTGGGTCTAGGGACCGGTTACTCTTGAGGACCCGTTAGACCTATACCAGGGCCCTCAACTATAGGCCCAGGACCCCACTGGACACTGGAACTCCTTTGGCCCTGGTGGACCCATGGTTGTCAAGGAGTGCGGTGGCCCTTGAATGGGGTTTCAGGGCCCATCTAGCAGGATTCAGGGCTTCCTTGTGACTTCTCATTTTGCAACATAAGGAACACGATTTAAATACCATGACATGATTTGACAGAATGACTATTATATTTAGCTAATTACTGAAGTGCTAACAGTTAAAAGTGTAATTCCATAAATGTTTAACGTAAGTCCCATATATTACCCTGGATGAAAATCTTTGGGCTAACAAGAGGATTAAGAATGGATTCACCTATTGCAGCGGACTCATCAGAGCCTGTCTGTCAGAGGATGTCTTTCCCCCAATTTTTACTCAATTTTTTTCTATTATATTCAATTGTGATGCTAACTGTCAGCCTCGAATTCCTAGTGGTCCAAACCAGAATTTGACCAGTAGTCTTCAATAGAAATAGTTTTACCAAAAATCTATAATCCCAGTGGGAATAAGTCTAATATTAATTTCTAATATTTAAATCTAATATTTAATTTAATCTACCTGTAGCTGCTATTACCAGCAGCGACTAGGACACTGGTATTGTTTTCATTGTGTGTTTGTTTCGGGAACTACCACAGAAGAGGTTTTAAGTAATTTGCCAGGTGTGGTCTGTGGACAGATTCTGTCACCACGATAGCGTCACAACTGATGAAATCACAAAACTTTACAGGTGTGTAGTTAGGATTGAAATAGAGGCTGAGTTAGAAGATGCATGTGGTCCGAGGCAAAGGCGCCGGAAGTAGAGGGGTAGGAACGTCCCTCCCACTTTACGCCCCTGGCCCAATTTGGCACCTCAGCTGGTGGGATCCCATCGCAAGATGGTCTCTATTTTTGCACTTATTTTTAGAAGTGCTAATGACAGGGTTCTAGGGTTGTTGGCCACTCTGGTCCAGACTAAAAAGTCTGGACAAATATTGGATGGATTACCATAACATGTTCATGGTCTCCAGAGGATAAATCATAATCCTAATGGCTCATGTGTTCACATGAGCCATTAGGATTATGATTTAGGATTGTGATTTATCCTTACCTTTCCTTAGAGCAGCCATTAAGGTTGACATTTGTGAAGCGTCTCAACAACAATTGGATGGATTACTATGAGATTTTTTTTAACTGATGATTGTAACTTCAGATTGTATGGACCCAGTAGTCGAGGTGAAATGCTGCCTCTATCAGGTATTACACGTTGCACCTTCAAATGGCTATACAAAGACCTTAGGCATTGATGTCTGTGACAATAATAGCAACTTCTATTGTCATCATTAATAGACTGTTGTTGCTGAATGTTACAGGGAATGTTGTTTGCGTGAGGAAATAGCTGTCAGCCTCTCTTGAACATGGTGTTTGGAGTCAACAGAAGATGTTAGCTTGTGCTAAACATCACCTACATTGATGTGAGCTATACATTAACAACATCCAGTAACTGACTGCTAACACTTGCTAACAGTTTACTACGCTTACCAGACGCTGGTCTTTTCTGGGCAGTGTTTGCCTCTGTTTCTGTCTGGTTCCTCCCTGAGTGTGTTGTAAAGCAAACATAGCCACCGGGTGAATAAATCAAAAACTGTGCTGCCCTTGTAGACAGATCAGAGAGAGACCTCAGCAGCAGGGGAGGAGGGAGAGACATATTCACACCAAGTTTGATTGAAACCATCACCAGAGGTAGTAAATGAAATATTATTGCACCGTTTTTAATGACAATGTATGTTAATTTGTTATGACACTGCAAAAAGGATACATTGGAGTTGTGTTACTATTGCTGCATCAGACCAAAGCTGAAGACATTGTGCATCAGCGTGTATTGTTACAGAACGTCTCATTCCAGGAATTTAGGCATAATTGGTGCTGACTGGTAAACTAAAACAAACATAGATGATTTGCTTCGAGCAAGTAACACAAAGTGATACTGCGATGTAGAATGACACACAAACATCCTGTGATTTGCAAGAAATGTGTTTGTATGTCTATCACGATGAGATCAGAATGTTTAACCCTGTTACATCAATATTCTAACGGATGATTATATAATGGGGCTGAGGATAACAATCATGCACGACAGTGGTGGGGATGATACTGATTGGTCAGGATGAAGATGAGGGCGACAATTCCAGATGTGTGAGTAAGAGGAACAGCATATTCCCTGTAGCGGTGACAGGACCCTCACTAGTGCCTGATTTACAACTTGCTGCTGTTGCCCTGGTTACCACTGTCAGGGTCACTGATCAAAGAGCAGCAATGGCATTCCAACTGCCTTAGGGAAAGAAGTCAAGGTATTGTTCACATACCGTATGTAATTTGTTAAATTATTGTTTCTGGTGTCTGAAGAATAGATTAAGTTTAGAGTTATCAATGTTCAACTGGTTTGTTTTCTGGGAGAACTGGACGTCTGCACTGGGACTGTGTACGTCACACTGTGGACATGCAGTCATGTGTACGTGCACATAGTTTGGCAGCAGCTGTAGCTGTGTATGGCAAGTGTCCAGAATGTATTGTATTTGGTGTATAATATGATGTAATGCCTGAAGAACATACATACATACAACATTCATACATTCTGTGTACCTGTTAGTGCGGTGTGCGCTAAACCCCCTCCCCGTAAAAATACTTGTTCAATCATATTTTAGTTTTTAGTTTAGCCTGTGACTGCCAAAATACCAATGCCAGAGACTTGCAACCCCCACTATCCCCAGAGGTGATTGAAGCACAATCAGCCTGATCATACTGAAGTTTGATAGCTAACACAAAAGAACCTTTCAACCATAAGCATTGTAGTTTACACTGCTCGGTGAACTCAGTGCTGCTTTGCTCTATTCTGCCGCTGGCCTCTCTGCTTGGTTTTAGGCATCAACCCTCATTTTAGCTTGTATGAAAATATAAGACATAAAGCTTATTGATTTGAACTACATAGGCTAGCAAGAATTGGACCCACATTGTTTACATTGTGGGTCTGTAGACTGACTGGCAGCTGTTGCTAATCTGGCGTAATCACGGGTCATCTGGGGACACATTCAATTTATACATTACAATATTGTATTTATAGCCATGTAGCCTTTACAAGTATGGTTACAATATACACTTTGAAATTGTTTAAAAAAATATTTCACACATTCTGCAAATCATCTCGTGAAACGCAACAATATTTTAGAATCTTGCAAAAGGCTCTTGATAAGATAATAAAATTATTGATCCCACACGGGGAAATTAATTTGTTACGGCAGCTCAATAGTGATTGAGTAATAAATAAAAATGGGTCAGAATAGAAAATAAAAAAATATGTTTATAAATAAATATAATTGCACAGGATACAGAAATTTCATAATATAGGCTGCTTCTTGCACTGCGGGTACACATCATACACCCATTCATACACTGATGGAAGGGGCTACCATGCAAGGTGCCTGCCCATCAGGACTAACTAAGCGCTCCCTATGTTCTCCAGGTATAAGAGGGATCTATGCAGTAGGTAGATGACTGCTCCCCCCCCACTTAAATGCCTGGTTGATAAGCAAAGTGCAAGGGGATCCAGCTTTGGGCTCACCAGGGGTCGGATGTGGTTTAAAACGACCCTCTCCGTGGTCTTCATCGGGTGAAAGTTGAGGCTACCGGTCTGAAGTGGTTGGGCTCCCTGGGGTGCACAGTCATTGGTACTGGAACCACACAGGCCATTTTCCAAAGGGCTGGAACTCTCTCGAGACCAAGATGTGCAAAACCACGTCACAGAGCTAATCTGCACCGTCCTTGAGTGGTTTGGAGCTGATGCCATCTGGGCCTGTGGCTTTTCTTGTCTTGATCTTCCTTAGCTCCTTCCTCAAGTGATCAGTTGTTAAGGAGAGACTGTGGGCTGGTGTTAGTAGGGTGCAGGTATTGTCCCGGATGCCCTGGGGAAGGGGGTGTGGTGGGTTTATGGGGGATTGAGGCCAGAATCGTATCTGTTAAAGAACATTTGCTCATTCCCTGTCTCCACATTCTAGGCCACTGCATTTGCGATGACCTGAGATCATCCTCAGTCCTCTCCAGACATCTCTTGCAGGACTCCTCCATTTTTCTCCTCTCCTGCTTTTTTATTTTTAAGTATCTTTTGTACCCTCCTCAATGCCTCTTTGTCCCCAGATGTAAAAACCTTCAGCAAGTCTTTTAGTTCAGGGGTCACCCAGGGTTGTCGTTGGATAAACACCTGGTAGGCACAGTGTTCTCCAATGAGAAGTTTATGTAGTCTGTGATACAGTGAGTCAAACTGTCAAAGTCCTCCCTATGTGGCGTTCAAAGCACTTCCCAGTTAGTGGTTTCAAAGCAGTCCTTGAATGTCTCACTGGCCTCCTCAGACCATTTCCTCACAGATCTTGTGGTTGGGGTTTGTTTATTCACCATTGGTATGTAGATTGGAACCAAATGTGACAGGGAAGCATGGTCAAAGTCTCCGGAGATCAGGAGGAGGGACTGCATTGGCCGAGGTAGGGGATGTACAATGCTACCGCGACGACGTGAGAGAACTTCCTCGATATAGGTAGTATGGCCCAATGAGTACGGCTAGCAGCTCAATGCCCTTGGTGCAACCCTGGGCACATCAGTGCTGCACAATCTATCATTGACAAACTTCGCTATTCCCCCACCCTTCCTCATACCACGCTCTCTTGCTCTCCTGTCTGCTCTCACAAGTTGAAAACTATCCACAGTTACTAGTAAGTCCCCATTGAGTTTGTTTAGCCAGGTTTCTGTGAAGCTCCTTCTGCAGCGCTGTTGGCGCCGTTAGCGCCTCCATCTTACGCTCCCCATATTGACAGACGCTAGGCATGGTTTGTACGATCTTTCATCACCCGGAACTTTGCTACAGCATTGCATCCTCTCGCCCTTCTCCTTATTTTCGAAGAGATCTCTGGTCTCTCTCAGAGTGTCCTTATTTGGCGCAGCGGCAACAGCTGTTCTCGGGTGTAAACAATTGAGTCGTGGTTAGATGGGTCTGCTGGTACGGTTTTAACTAGTCAAAAATAAACAAAAGGCATACCAGTAATCTTACCAGTTGCACATCCATAGTTACATACAAACAAGGGAGATTAGGGTTAGAAAGAGGCACAAACAAACATAAAATACACTAAAAATTCAGAATGAAGAACAGAGCTGCAGTAACTGGCTGCCACAAGCACAGCACCATTAGAAATATGCATCTGATGGCTTAATACATGATCATGCTATCAGTGGACAGGACACATATTTTGACAACAGAAAAACAGTTTTGCGTTCTTACATACACACACGGTTTAACCTTCCAATTATCCCAAATAAACTCATGTGTTTGAAAGACTTTATTAAAACCAGAACTCTCTTACACTCTGGATGGACGTTGCTGGGGGTCAGAACAAAAGGCCATTTACTCTCCAGTCCACATGAAGAATGAGTTTGCTGGAAGCAGCATGAACAGTAGAAATTCTTTTTTAGTGTAGATATTAAGTGAGCACCACTACAGTTATTATTTTGAATGCCACCTATAACATCACACTATCCGAGGTGTCCGCTAAAACAACAGCATCTGTCTGTTTTCACTTTTTTTATTACATCATTAAAGGGTGATGAATCAGAAGTCATTGATCCATCACAGGTAGAAAATCCAGACTGATCCTTTAAATGTAGCTTGTTTTGTTGGGTCTGTTTGCACAACAGATGTCTTGGTCATCAACAAAACATAAAGATTAGTATCACCTGCATATAAGATATTATGCCTTGGGCGACTGGATAGCTGTTGGCGCATACCAAAGTCATATTCATAGTTTGTGCCCAGCAACATTCGATGCTGTGACCACCATAAATGGAGTTACATCCTCCATTGTATTGGAGGTGTCCTGATCTGAAACGCCCATCAGCAGGACCACATCATCTGTCTGTGACTTCCAAAACCATTACAAATCCCTGTTGAACAATAAATCTGTTTTATAACGTGACACCACTGTGGTTAAGGTTTGGTTAGGTAAAGACACAAAAACAACCTTCTTTAGGTTTGGGTAAAAATGACTACTTTGTTAAGGGAGCTTCTTCATCATGGCAAAATAATACCCAAGTGGTTCAGGTTATGGAAAGATTGTGTCCATGCTTCAACTAAAACATTGTTGACTGTCTGTTGGAAATGGGATGCGGACACCGGTGTCCTGTGTTAAAGTCTTATGTTTCGTTGACAATTGAGTTAAGCCAAGTTTATAAATTCAGGTTCAACAGTCTGTATATATATTGTGGTGGGCTCAACAGGTAAAGAAGTGGAGGCCTGCCGAGCGAATACCTTATTTTACAAGACAGGAAATTTCACATACGGTTTTATTGCATGTGTATAATTCAAACTTATTCCATTTACCTTGCAGAATAAGGGTTAAAAGCATGGGTTAGCTTGATACTTGAGGAATGTAAAGCATATCCAGCTGTGCCTTAATCTGTCCGTGGCTTACTTAGGAAGACCAGAGGGAGGCAGCCAGAAGGACACACTGAGTGAGAGAAAGAGAAAGATGATGCTTGTGGTTGAAGTGTGTTGTGTTCAAGTGGTTTTATAGTATGTTGTTATGGAGCCATTCTAAAGAGGCTGGGATGCCAAAGCAAAGAAATATATTGGTTATACTCAGAAGCTTCACCGTCCGTTGACTCTGTCTTACACTGCAGCTGGAGACAGGAAGCAATGCTGAATT